GATCCCAGAGAGTCTGCCACCAGTTCCAGAATCTCTGCGCAAAATCGCAATCCCACCAGATGTGGGATTGGGTTTCAATTTCTTCTGTCGCACATGAAGAGCAGAACAGCCTCACTTGCATTCTTCTGCGAACACACCAACTGGCTGAAGGAACGCAGAGGTGGATGAATAGCCACTCCAGGCTTGCGTGTTTAACCACTGAGTATCTCTTCAGGGCTTTGCCATAGCTTTTTGCCCACGAGAGGGAGCAAGAGGACATATCAAGCTTCTGTTGGTTTTTATCCCAGGCACCTTTGACCGTCACACAGAGTTCATTAGCCCTAGGCTTCAGACGATATCCTAGTGCGACAGTGTAGTCCAAGATTGTGGCTTGAGACTGCTGTCCTGGGATGTTATCCCAACCGTAGATTGCTGCATCAATCCAGCCATCCCTGACTGGTCTGCCCTCAAACAACAACTGAAAAAAGGGAGCTGGCCCTTTTATAGTGTGCTTTGTGGATTCTTTGACCCGGATCAGTTTGCACTGATCCACATGAAGCAAGCTTCCTTCTTGGTTCTCTGCAACTCCAGGTAGGGCTTGGTCCCACTGGTTTTCCTGGGACTCCTCTGGGGACCTTGCTCTCTTGAGTTCCTGTCTCTCTTCAGTCCATTTGGAACATCGGATTGATTCTTCATCAAGTACTTCCTCAATTTGCCAAAAAAACCCTGGTTCTTGTTCGTCCACGACCTACATCCCTTTCTGAAATGGTTCCTTTTGAAGTACTTTGAGGCATTTCGCAGGAACGGCCTGTTTTATAAGAAACAGACAGTTATGAACGTTCTGCACTCCTCTTAACTTATTCTCCATTTCCCGTTGCTCTTTCCAGTCCTTCTTCTCCTCATCCCAAAGATCCCTTACCTGTGTGATGCCTGCCTGAATCCATTTCAGCCCAAATCCTGTGTTTCCTCCCGTGATTCTGATAGGATTCCCTTCAGGTGTCCTGATATGGTTGTTCTCGAAGATCTGCTGTAGCAGAATTTCGTCTCTTGCGTTTGGTTCTCTGAGCAGTGTTGGCAAGTTGGTCACGACGACTTCTTGGTTGCCCACCGCAAATGTCCACACGCATACATACATACATACATACACACACACAGAGAGAGAGAGAGAGAGAGAGAGAGAGAGAACATGACAACGGGAGGGAGGGTTATCTTCTGAAGCGCCACCGCTAAATGTGAGAAAAACAGCTGCTGGAAAAATAAAGCAACGAAAGAAG